TTTATTGATTATATACTTCTTGTGTTACGTTTAACCCGTAATAGTTCAGTAATATAATTAAGACGAAGTCTTACTTCTAACTCATAACTTTTTCCAACTTTTTTCTTACCGCTAGGATTCCACTAAGGCTTTATAATAATTCTTAAACAGACCAATACACTAAACGCAAGTTATGTAAACAAAATAAATTTTAAACAAGAAAAAAAAATCAAAGCATAATCTCTGCAAGGAAAAATAAGAATTTAACGAAAAATGTCCATAAAACTTTTCTCATACATATGTACTTTTCTTTCCGAAACATAGAGCAATTGAAAAATTTAATTCCATTTAAAATTCAAATATTTAAGCCGATCTCCAATAAATTGAATCTTTCTGGTAAGTTCTTTTTTCCCCCAAAAAACTTCTTCAGGATTCCCCTCATTTCCCATTCACAATGCTTCTGTTGATAGCGAAAATAAAAAAACGAGAAAAATAAAAAGGATAAGGGAAAAAAGTTCCTCCACCAATACTATGATGTATGTAAAAGACGACAAAATCTCCCCTGAAGACATGTTGCGTTGCCATGGTTACCATCGGGCGTCCGTCCCTCGTCACTCTCGAAATCTGCCCGCCCGAGGAAAGGAGGGATTTCACAATATGCTAATCGATATTTCTATTCTTTTGTTCCAAAACGCTAAGTTCTAGAACTTGTTTCTGTGCAACGCGGAATGGATGGAATCTGGAGCTCTGCTAAATAAAAGCCTTTTCGGATCTGGCAACTTGATTAATAGTCGACAGATTGTGTGATGATTGAAGGGGATGAAGGATTTCGTCAACATGATAAAAATCGTTTGGGATTCTGAAAGCTAAAAGTGAAACCGATGTCAGTTTGAATAAAAATAACCCTACGATTTGGTTTCCAAATTTTCTTTTTCTGTCTTAAAAATCTAGAATATATTTTATTCGAATTAAATTTGTTTGGATTTCATTTAAATTAACCAATAAATAATCTGTATCTTGAAGTAAAATTTTGATTTCATTCATACATTTAAAAGAGGGGAAAAAATAACAATTTTGCGAATTAATAGACAAAAAACACTTTCTTTCTGCCCCACTTTATACTTTTCATTCGAAATTTTATTATTATCTCCAATTTTATCTTTGAATAAATAAAGAAATACAAACAAATGTATACTTTATTAATGTCTGAAATATGTCGTTAAACAACATTAGAATACGATAATTCCGTAATTATCAATTTCTCATTCAAAATTTTGTAAAATTTGTCAAAAATGTTAAAAAAAAGTGCAGCATTTAATAATTTTCGTAAACCGTGAACCGTGATAACCGTGATACCGTGACATAATATGATAACCGCGACATAATATGATGATGAATGATGTTAACCGTGACACGTGAACCGTAATAATTTTACGATTTATTAATATTTGATTTAAAAGTTTCTTATTATCCCCAATTTAATCTTCCGATCGATAAAAAGAGCACCATTTAATAGTTTAAAAAAGAAACACAATTTGCGTTCTTCAAAAATATTGTTCGATGATAGTCAAACGAAGGTGATAATTTTGATCCAGTCTTTGTCTTTTGATCTAAGGTGATAATTTTGTGATTTATCCCTATATCATTTTCGCCCTTTATCCTTCCAAGCATTTTAATCCCCTATTTCACAATCAGAGGACCAAGAAAGAACAAAATAATGGTATCATTTATTAAAATATTTCCTTAAAAATAACGTTTGAGTCTTAGCAAAATGTCATTTGATCACAATTGAAACGTAAAAGTTCTGTAATTTATCACTCTTACATACATGGTTATCCCCAATTTTATCTTCATATGGTCAAAGAAGTTAAAAGAGTATTGTTTAATAGTTTTTGCATGATATCATTTATGCGTTTGAAAACTATTGTTTGCCCAAAATTGTAACGTGATAATTCTGCGATTTATCACTTTCTTATGTAAAATCACATCATTGGATTGTGATAATTCTGTGGCTCCACTTAAATTTTCCACTTAAATTTTATCCACTTAAGGTATTGTGAAACAGCTTTAATAAAAAGAAAAAAAATCTTAAATTAATTTTGCGGTTACAATGACAAAAAAAAAAAAATTTTTTTTTAATTTTTAAAAATATAAAAAAACATTTTTTTTTTATTTAAAAATTAACAAATTGTGAGTCATGGTTCAAATTTTATTCATCTATAATTTTCGAATTTAAATCCTATTTTTGTCAACTATAACTAACAAATTGTACGTTTATAAAAAATTTAAGCACATGCTGAAAAATGCATATTGTTGAAAATTTGCAAATACCTAAGTAAGTTGAAAAATATAAATGGTAACCCTATGATGCTACCATTGCTCCAAAGAATATGGCTTAATATGCACAATATTATGAATCAAATGTGTGACAATATTCCGCCGTACAATAGAAAAATTAACGTAAGCTGCAAAAAATTATAAATTGAGATTTTTATATATTTGGCATTTTTGCGGTAAAAGCTGCACATTGCACAAAAAAAAAATTATTTTTTAAAAACATAATTTCTTGGGCCGCGATGGCTCAGGGGATATAGCGTTCGCCTTCCAATAAAGTGAACCGGGTTCGAATCCCAGGATGGCTGGTCAATACGAATCAGCATATGGCTTGCACTGACCACAGTGCTGGCATGAAATATCCTCAGTGGTAGACGGATCATGGGTTAGAGTCCCTTTCCCGTCAGGCTGACCGTGACAGGCTCTCATGGTTTTCCTCTCCATGTAACGAAAATATGGGTTAGTTCCATAAAAAGTCCTATACGAAGGAAAATTTCCCCCAATACTTGATCCAGGAGTTCCCTTGTCTTCTGGATTGGGCTCAAAATTACAAGGTAACGGAGTTGAACGTTAGTAGTCGTAAACCCAAAAAATTCTTGAGTCGACTGTTCAACTACGGTTATAAAATAAAATAAAATGTCAAGCGTCATCTTTCAAAAGGCACTTTCTGATAGAATCGTCTTAGCATGTACTACTCTCATGTACTAGTGAATTGGAATTTAATAGCTATTGTGGTAGCTCCACTACGCTCAGAAACTGAATCGGTGTCAATTAGATTCAGTTTCCTACTTTTGAAAATAAAATAAATTTTTCTCAATTGATCGCAAAAGTGATATTAAATTAAGTTCTCTGATATTTTTCGAAAACATTTTTGTCAAGTCAAAATTAGTTTCTAAAATTTCTTGCAAAGTACAATTCAAGACTCAAAAGTTTGTTGAAAACACAATTATAAATTTCAGAACTTTGAGTTATCGTTGTAAAGCTATTATTATTATTATTATTATTAATCTCTCTCTCTAAGTATAATTGAAATATAATATTGAATTAAATCATAATTCCATTCATATAAACTATTCACTTTTAACCTTTCAATTCTTCCCAACTTATAGCTCAGTTTGCTTCTACGTTCATTCCACGCGAGAAAAGAATTTTCATTCAGAAACTTGTGAGCATGTAAGATTTGTCGCCATGTTAATGACAGGTCACATGCTTGATATTTCAGTTCCTTGTTGCCAATACGAAAGAGTAATTCGGACTTTCTTTGTCACCTTTTAAGAGAAGTATAGTTACAAATTGCATGACAGTATTATGGTTCAACCAAACCTATAATCTATTTATCTATTAGAGTTCAAGAAAGCGAATTGTATTGCACCTAAAAATGGTTCTAATACCAACTTTACTTAAACTGCTACAAATTTTAATGATATTGTGATCCAAAACTGAATTAGGTATTAGAATTTAAAAAGAAGTTTTCTTTTAAGGTAAAGATTCATTTTGTGCACTTAGCATTCTTAGCATAAATATTTTATGCATTTTCAGTGATGATAACAAGAAAAAATTTGAAATTTTTTTTAATGCATTTTATAAAACTGAAGGAACATATAAATAAAACCTTTAAATTGACTGATAATTTTAAGTATTTGGAACCAAAATTTACCTTCAAATTTGATCGTTCCATACGAATAAAATATCGTTCAATTATATCAATATAATCAGGACATTTTTCAAAATTACTAAACATACTGTTGTAAATTTAACCATTATATTGTTTCATTGATGCTATTTTTAAATTTACTGCATTTATATAATATTAAAATTATTAAACAATTATTCTTTCTATTCTACTACTGAACAATTATTCTTTCTATTCTATTACTAAACAATTATTCTTTCTATTCTATTACAGAACAATTATTATTTAAAATTACTGAACAATTATTCTAAGTTACTGCTTTAGACACGGTTAATCATGGTGCTACAATTTAAATCATTTTATCATTCTATCGTATTGCCGCATTTTTAACCATGTTAAAATATTGCGGCCATTATATATTTGGAATACATTAAAATATGCATTACGAATTAAACCTGCTGCTATCGGTTCGAATTTATTACTTTAATACATTGCTAAAATACTGATGCAAATTGAATCATTATATGATTAATATTGACTTCATATATGCACCGTTAAAATATTGTTTCAAGTTGTACCATTGTCCAGTTGATTACTGCATTTTGAACCTATTAAAATATTGTTGGAAGTAAAATCGGTTAAAGGTTCAAATTTACTGTCGCCTACATTGCTAAAATAATGATGCCAATGGAATAGAAAGATAAAATGGTTCAATTTTACTGCATTTATGCAATGTTAAAATAATGGAATAGTTCAATTTGTTTCATTTTCTCTTCAGATTGTTGAAATATTATTGCAAATTAAATCCTAATATCAGCAGCAAATTTGTACGATTTGTGCCAGGTTGCCGCAAAAGTTTCAACAGGTAAACTATATTGCTATGATATTTTTTTTATGGCACATTAATGTGGTTCACACTACACTTCTAATAGGGTTGCGACAAATTTTCACATAAATTTTTATTAAAATCAAAAATTTCATTTCCCAAAATGAACAAATAAATTTTACTGAGTGGTATGGTTTTAAAATGCATTTAAAAAAAATCTTTACTTACCATTATATGTGCTTGATAACATCACAGCAAGGTAACTATTTATTTTTTCTATTTCAAAGTTTGCTATAAACTGAATCAACATTCCAATATGCAAAATAAGAGACAGTTAACAGTTTCTGGAATAGATAGTTAAAATTATTGTAAATATTAAAGAAGTTGAATTTGTTAGAAAAGTTAATTAATAATGTGCTTGATAATATCACAGCAAAGTAACTTTTTGCTATAAACTGAATCAACATTCAAAAATGCAAAAAATCTAAAGTCAACAGTTTCTGGAATAGAACGTAAAAATTATATTCTATGTATTAACGAAGTTGAATTTGTTTGAAAAGTTAGATAATTAAAAAAATATTTGCAAGGAAAGTTGATATTTTAATTCACATTTTAATCAGCTCAGTACAAATTAAAATAAAATAAATGAAAACAAACTTTATTGACTGATAATTTTACAAATTAAAATTATTTCTTTCTGCTCAAACTGCCTTATTTACAAGCTGTTTATAATTGAAATCATATTCATAAAAAAATGAATTAATATAAAAAAATGCACTTGCATCATTATGTTATATTTTTACCTACTAAACAATTATTTCCACTGATAAAAGTAGAAAATTTATTTGTGACCCTGGGAAATAAATGCCCCAAGCGTCAAATTAAATAACTTACTTTTTTTCACTTCCTAAACGCTCAATTTCATGCTTTATTCTAGTTTATAATCTGCGTTGAACAGCCGAGTTAATTCTGAGTTAACGAATATCAATGTTCAACACCGTAGCTTGTCATTTTGAACCTAACCCTGTTGATAAAGGAAGTCCTAGAGCAATCATTACTACAAACTAGTCTCCATGGAAGACTTTTTGTTGGAATTTCCCCGCAGTTGCTTTACAGTGAGAGGAAAACTACGAAAATATTTATGGTTAGCCAGTTGGTAAGGGATATCTAAGCCATGACCCGTCTACCACAGAGGATATTTTACTTCAGTGCTGTGGTCGGTGCGAGTCAAGAATTCGCAACACTGAGCAAAATTCAACCAGCCAACGCTGAGATTTGAACCTTGCTCACCTCAAAGGGAGGCGAATGTTCAATCCCCTTACCCATAGCGGCTCCATTTCCTGTTTCATAATATTTTTTAAACTGTAATTTCTTTAGCATAATTTATTTTCAAATATTCAATAAATAAATAAAAAAGTAGAAGAACTAAAATATACGCTATTTTAATCAGAGTAAGCTAGTTTTTTTAATTTTTCACAAAATTATGTATTTTATTGTAGAATGTTATTCGAGCGAAATACTTAAAATGATAGCTGACAAATAATAATAAAATTTGAGAAAGAATTAGAAAAATAATCAAAAGCAGAGAATTTAACTTTACAAAATTTTAAATTTAATTAAGTAATTTCTGAAACGAAACGTAGATAACGAAACGAACGAAAATAAAAATATTTTCAAAATTTGTTTAAATCTGAAGATACAGTTGAAAACGTGAAAAAAGTTATATTATGTTGTTCCGTAATGATCACCTTTAATATCTTCTTTTTTAAATTCTGGGAAATTACTTCCGAAGAAAACGAAACTGAATTCATCAAAATCTGTTGGATTGCAGAAGGAAACCGAGAAAAATTGGAAAAGTTTGCAATAACCACCAAATATTCTTAGGCAACCAAACTGGTTTCGGTGTTTTTCATCTCGACCAATTCTGTAGATTTCGATAATGTTTTCGTGTTTCCCCCGGTTCATTTTTAACCACAAATTTGCATACTTTTTTGACCTAATTTTTGATACTCTGCGCATATTACTTGACGATAAATAAGGAATATTATTAATTTTCATACCACCCGTTCAATCTAAAATACATTAAATATTCAGAATTAAATGAATTTATTATAGAAAATTCTGTATTTGAAAAGAATTTATTTAACTGCATTTAAAAAGTATTTTGTAAAAAAACATCATTGTAGCTCAAGAGCTGAAAAATATTTTGTTATAAAAGAATGTAAAAGATATTTTAATAATTTATAAATGACTTTTAATAATTTATAACGACTTTTAATAAGTTATAAAGAAATATTTTCTCTCAAAACATATTTATGTTTTTAAAGAGAAAAAACGAAAGCCATTTATACGACTTATTTTGATTCCTACAAAATTTATAATTAACAGAATTTATAATAAAATTAACATTATATAATTTAGCAATAACTTAAATATATTAATATTATTAATCGTTAATTAGTATTATAATATAATTAACAATATATAATAACATAAAATTTATAATTGAAATTAAAATTTATAAACACAAAATATATGACATAAATTGTACTTAGTGAATCAAACTAGTGCAGTTTTTCTATTAAATTATGATAGGAACACGCTATACAAACTATGATAAAATTTAAATGAGAATCCAAGTTTAATTAATTCTTCTTACAAACTAAATTTTTAGAACTCAAATAGAATTAAAAATTGTTTTCACTTAAATTTATCATTTTTTTATTCGATCAAATACAACTTTTATTTTTTTCATTCTTTGATGTATGAAAATTCACAAAATTAATACAAAAATTTTCAATATAATTTTAATTGAAACCTGGCTTGAACTAAGTTTTACACACTAATTTTTTTCAATCTCAATAACAAATAATTTTAGCCTATACCCTCAGTTTTCATATTTTAAAATCTATCGTTGGATTTATTCTATTTACAAAAATTTTTAGAACTGATCATCTGTGAAAATAAAATAATTTTTTCAGAAACCCAGTTTATAAACTGTTCTATCAGAAATAAAAATTAGACTTAGAGAGCTATTAGTTTTTTAAACCATTCATAGATGGCAGTACCAACATCATTTATCATATCTTATTTCAGAAAAGAGCAAAATAATGATTAATTTATTCCTTGAGTGACAGGTCACCAATAAATAGACCAAAATAAGTAAACAACCATTTATTTCTGTTTTCAGAAGAATTTGTAGTTAAAAATAGTAATAATATTTAAAAAATAATCTCTTAAAATGATTTAGAGCTGCAGTTAAGCCAGCAAAGCTCGATAGTAAACAAAGCGTAAAAGTGATACGTCACCGAAACGATTTGTCATTGGCTAAGCAGGATCATGATGGAAGGGTAGGACGTGACATTGCAGAGGGCCGGCCCACAAGCAGGATTGAGAAGGAGTTGTCAAAAGTGAGTGGTCAGGACTGCTACGCCATCTAGGGTCGAAAATAAACAATTTATCATTTAGTTTGTTTACAAGTTGTCAGTTGGATACATTACTTCAAAGCAAAATATTCAATTCAGATGCGTTCACATAGGGACTGAGTTTTCATTATTTATGTTTTAAATTTATGATGAATTTAAAACATAATATTTAAATTAACATGACATTAAAATAAGCATTTTAGATGATTGCTTTAATCTCAATTGAAATTTGATTTTAAAGTTGATGACTTTTCATTTTGAGACATTTACTAAAATTCCCCAAAGTTAATGTTGTAACATATTTTAAAAATTTTATTTCGCAATTACTTTTAGGAAATGCTTAATGTAAATTTTTTTTTGGACAAAATATAGAGCTTATTGCTGTTTTTATATCACAGTTGTCTTTCAGATTAAAAAATGAAATATTTAAACAAAGTCAATTTAGATTTCAAAATTTAAAAATTGCGTTATGACATTGCATTTTAATCATTATGACAGAAGAATGAATTATAATTAAAATTTTATACAAATATAAATTTTATTTTTGTAATAAATTGCAGAAAAGAATTAAACAAATATTTATTTATATTCGTCAATTAAAAGTATTTTTATTTTCTTGTAATTTTTTCATAGTTTATAAAATTTACACAAAATTAACAGTAGACACTGCAAGTATTTAAAAGAAATGCTAATGCTAAATGTTTAAATGCTAATTACGAATACGTAGTTTTTAACATTTTATTCGTTACATCTTTTCTGAAGCTAGCGAATTCCCTGTTAGTAAATCTAATTATCTTTATGTATAAAAATATAGATAATTAGATTATATATAGATTATATGTATAAAAATATAGATATGTAGATATAGATAGATATATAGATTATAAATAAATTCAATGTTTAAAAGTTTGAATTGATTTTATGTATCAAATCACACTTTATGTAAATGTTTTTGCTTTAAATATGAATATTATGAGATGTAAGTTATAGTGGAAGTTATAGTGGAAGTTATGATTGAATGATCGAAGAGATTATAAATAAATAAATTTTTACATTAATAAATACACTTTTGCATTGATAAATAAATTTTTGCATGAATAAATAAGTTTTTACATGAATAAATGTATTTTTACATTAATAAATGCATTTTTACACTAACAAATACATTTTTACATTAATGAATAATTTTTTACATTAATAAATACATTTTTACATTAATGAATAAATTTTTACATTAATAAATAAATTATAAATAAATAAATTTAAAACTTTTTTTAAATTTTTAGACGCATGGGGCATCCTCTCCACAAATCTGCTTAAACTAAAAAAGTCTGGTACGTCCCATCACTCACGATAGGTGGCACAACCAGATAAACTAATTAAACCACGTTCCACTGTCACTTGACAAAACACAGCTCAACCACAACTAAACTTGATTAGCAAAAAGCTGAACAAAACATATTCCTACGTCCAGTTATCTAGTTAAATTTCATTTTTATAGTTCTGAAACCATGGTACCTATAAATGGTTACNTTAATTAACAAAACTAATCTTTTTTTTTTCAAAATGTTAATTAAGGTGTCCACTTACATATTCGGTTAATAATTTTTGTTTGTTTAAACAAAATTACTTTGTTACAATATAATATTCTAATACCAAAAAAAGTACTTACGTAGCGTGAAAATATCTTTTGTGTTGTAACTCTTTCAAAAGTACATAAAAATGGTTGCCAGCAGGGTGGTTGCCAACCAAATCTAGAACCCGACACTCGAAATTTTTGCTCTGTTACAATCGCACCCTGTTACAATTGACCCCACTCTCCCCTACTAATTTTTTTAGGAGAAACGTCAATAGTCACCATACTATTATTAAGGCTAACGATGTTTTAGCACTTTATGTAATAAATTCATAATGAAATAAAAAATAATAAGCAATGAACTAAAAAGCAAAATTTTTGCAGTAAAGGTTCGTTTAGAGCAACCGTGAATAATCGCGATACTATTGGCTTCTATTAGTCAGATTGGCTTCTATGATGTTTAATTAATGTTGATAATATGTATTAACTGAAACAAAAAAAAAAATAGCCTTCGTACTAAAAATTAAAGTTAATAATGAAAAGTTACTTATTCGTTTTGGGGAGCCGTAAAAAATCACCATAATGATGACGCTTAATTAATATTGGTATTAACGCATTATAGTAATTGGCGCAGCTTTAATAAGAATTCTACAAAGGATTTTCGTAGTTTCAGAAAATATATTTCCAGAGGTAGCAAAGATAGGGAGCTTGGCCAAAGAATACGTAGATACCAAGATACCGTAGGTAGCAAGATAGGGAGTGGAATATTTTGATGAATTGGAATTAAAAGAACTTTTTTTTCCAATACTTCTTATGAATATTTTAAATAGTCTATTGGTAAAAGTCAAATAGAGTCCTTATCAAGGTCTGATAAGAATTCTATTAGATTTTAAAATTTCGCCTTTGTTTTGCCATAACTCAAGTGATGCTTAATTTAGTTAACATCTATTCTGATGTGATGAACTACAAAACACGCGCTTTGCTTAATTTAATAATGTAAAGTCACCGGGACGAGCGATAAATAAAAAAATAATCGAAATTATTTCAGTCGTTATTTGCCTTCCAGTTCTGTGTACTAATTCAGTGTTCAGCATTAATTTATCGTTTATTTATTTACTTAATTTTATTCATCCCGAAAGAAGCGCGGTTATTCAGCTTGTCATTTAATAATTCACAATTAAATTGCTGTATTAAATACAATTAGAAGAAATCCAATAAAAATTTCTGTAACTCTAAGATAAATTCTTATTAATCTTAGAGTTATTTATGACTGAATTGAATTATTTAAATCTATTTATAAAAAATCAAAGTAAATTGCAAATCATTTCGAAAGTTAGCAAATTAAACATTTTACTATCCAAATTCAAACTTTGAAACGTTAAATCCGATACGTTTATAAATCAATTCAATGTTTAAAAGTTCGAATTGATTTTATGTATCAAATCGCACTTTATGTAAATGTTTTTGCTTTAAATATGAATATTATGAGATGTAAATTATAATGGAAGTTATGATTGATTGATCGAAGAGATTATAAATAAATTCAATGTTTAAAAGTTTGAATTGATTTTATGTATCAAATCACACTTTATGTAAATGTTTTTGCTTTAAATATGAATATTATGAGATGTAAGTTATAGTGTAAGTTATGATTGAATGATCGAAGAGATTATAAATAAATAAATTTTTACATTAATAAATACACTTTTGCATTGATAAATAAATTTTTGCATGAATAAATAAGTTTTTACATGAATAAATGTATTTTTACATTAATAAATGCATTTTTACACTAACAAATACATTTTTACATTAATGAATAATTTTTTACATTAATAAATACATTTTTACATTAATGAATAAATTTTTACATTAATAAATAAATTATAAATAAATAAATTTAAAACTTTTTTTAAATTTTTAGACGCATGGGGCATCCTCTCCACAAATCTGCTTAAACTAAAAAAGTCTGGTACGTCCCATCTCTCACGATAGGTGGCACAACCAGATAAACTAATTAAACCACGTTCCACTGTCACTTGACAAAACACAGCTCAACCACAACTAAACTTGATTAGCAAAAAGCTGAACAAAACATATTCCTACGTCCAGTTATCTAGTTAAATTTCATTTTTATAGTTCTGAAACCATGGTACCTATAAATTGTTACATAACCCAATAGTTTGGTATTCATAATTTGTTTAATCATATAATTTATAAAAGGTTTCAAACCCGTAAACGTAAATAAATGTTCCTAACCGTATTTTTACGTTTACTTGAAAGGGCAGATTGCTGCTGGTTATTTTACAGTAATTCTAAAATGAAAATTCTAACAATGTAACATTTGATGCAAAAAATAAATAATGCAAAAAATTGATAAAATAAATATTAAATGTCAGAGATATTTATTTAAATCGATGGTATCGAATTGACTATATTAAAGTAGTAGAATAGATATAAATATATCTGTCGAAATTATTTTTATGTTATTTTCACGCCTACATCCGCCGTTTAAAACACCTTGCCTTTCTTTTGGGGCAAATGTGAACACATTTATTAAACGTTCGGTATAATTATTTATTCGAAAGTTTTTGATAAACGTACATAAAAACTGTCTTAAAAAACAAAATATTTTTTTTTTTAATCTGACTGTTGAATTTAAAAAAAAAATTAATGTTGCAAAAAATAATAAATAAATAAAAAAAATTAAATACTTTGAATAACTTTTGATCTAATCGTTAGATATTTAAAATAATTCCATGAAATTTTGATGGCTGAAGTTGCATAGATTAAATGTGCGAGTTAACTAGGGCAAACATGATTTTAAGCTAAGGAAATAGACGAAAACGTATTTTTCTCACAAAGCATACCTTTTATTTTCTATACATTTTGTGTAAAATTTAAAATAAAAATTCGAAAAATTTGTATATCTTAAAATATCAAACTTTTCGCAGCATTACTGAATTAAATAGTAAAAATAATCTAACAAAAATAATATAATAAAAATAATATAATAAAAATAATTTAATAAAAGTGATAAAATAAAAATAATATAATAAAAAAATATAAAAATAATATAATAAATAGGTTTAAAAAATATATTGTGCAAGTATAAGCGAATACCATATTTATAATTAACCATGTGCAAAAATTTATTTATTACCGAACTTAAGAATTATGGTGAAAAAATATTACATCTAATATTTTGGACTGTCCTCTTATTTGGATCATATTTTCCCGATATCGACTCTCAATAACATATTTAAAAATTTAAAATATTCGAATTTGTGGAGAAAGGGAGGAACACATTCATATTCAAAAATTACGTTTTTGTGTCCGATTTTATTACTTAAAATATCTAATGCATATTTATAGAACGCTCTTATGATCCCCTCTTAATACGCGAAAATTCAATTATTAAATCAAAAGTTATTC